GTTGAAGTCCACCCATCTTAAAGTTGCTGAGGTTAAGGAACCCTGCTTTAGGATAACTTCTGTGGTGGCCAACTGCGTGGCAGCCGATAGCAGACCTTGGCTGACCTTAAGGAAGCTGAGCTGGCCCTGGTTATTACTGGATGGGAGACCACTAGGAGATCCCAGGTTCAACATCCTGGAAGAAGGGAAGGGCAAGCCGCTTCTGTATTCTTGCTTAGAGAAAACTGAACTCCTCAGAAATTGAGCTCAACTGGAGGAAGCTTCTCCCTTTGCCTCTTCCTTGTACTGAATTGAGAGGAATTTCACTAGTAACTGAAAGCACTGGAGTGTTGAAGCCCTGATTTTATGGAGCAGACCAGGAATGTGAAACCAGGTCTGTTCCCCCAGAAATTCACAGGCCCAAAAATAGTGCTCAGATCTCACAGGCAGGAGCAGATTGTATTTGTGTTTATATAGTTGCTCTTTATCCCACCACGAGCGTATGTTGCTCTTTACGAGAGAGTAGGCTTCGGCCAAGAAGACCTTGGAATCTAAATTATTTGTGTATGATTTGTTCATCAGGTTTTGCCTCACAATTTCCTTGATTGTAACAATCCCAATACAGTAATTCATGGAGAAAATGTATCTCTGTGGTTGCTAGGAGTTGAAAATGACTTGGTGACATCATCATCATTAATGTTCATCTGGGGTAAATAAATTTAAAAAATAATTCACTTTTAAAAATATCTAAATATGCAACCTGGGGAGAAATATTTCAAAGTTTTCAAAGAGATTTCACCTTAATTACTTCACTACAAATAAGGCACGCAAATTCCTCTTACAGTTTCCACGATTCTGTATTTACCTCAGATGAGCATTAAGTATGATGATGATATGCCATCAAGTCGTGGTTGACTCTTAGTGATCACATAGATAGATTTTCTCCATGACAATTAATCTCTAACCTGGTCTTTGAGGTGTTCCAACTGTGCACCTATTGCCTTTGTAACTGAGTCCATCCACCTTGCTGCTGGTCATCCTCTTCTCTTTCCTTCCATCTTTCCCACCACCAGAGCCTTCTCCAGAGAGCTGGGTCTTTGCATAATGTGTACAAAGTAGGATAATTTGAGCCTGGTCATTTGTGCCTTGAGTGAGAACTCTGGGTTGATTTGTTCAATGATCCATTGGTTTGTTTTCTTGGCTGTCCAGTCTTCTCAGGAGTCTTCTCCAACCCCGAAGTTTAAAGATGTCAATACTCTTCCTATCCTGCTTCTTTAAAGTCCAAGCTCACTTTCACTTCCATAGAGTATCACAGGGAATGCCATGGCTTGCACGATTCTGAGCTTTGTAGATACAAACACATCACGGCATTTGAATTTCTTTTCCAAGGCCTTCATGGTTCCTGTACCGAGTGCTAGTCTCCGGTGTATTTCTTGACTGCTTGTTCCTTTGCTGCTGCTGGTTGATCCCAAAAGGCAGAAATGATCCGGCACTTCAATGTCTTCATTGTCAATTCCAAGGCTGGTTGTTCTACCTGTCGGTAGTTTGGTCTTTACAATTAATTTTATTCCCATTTTTTCACTGTATTCCTAGACTTCCGTTACTAGAACTTGCACATCATTTGCATTTTTGGCCATCAGAGTAGTGTCATTAACATAGGGCAGGTTGTTGATGTTCCTTTGTCCAGTTTTAGAACCATGTTCATCTTCATTAAAAACCAATTTGTAATTTAAAAAAAACTGGTACATTTAAGTAATAATAATTCAGCAAAAATATCCAAATGTCAAGACAAGCTGCCTACAATCAATTAACCTACCCTGAAGGAGAATTGTGTGTCCATGCAGGCCCAGCTCCAGTTTTTTTGCCCTCACCATTCCCAACTTTCCCAAGATCAGAGGTGCTGGAATTCATTGAATTGTGATTGTTTGATAAAAATCTCATATATTAGTAATCTAGCCCAGGACTAAGTAGAATGTAGATCAGCTTCATTTGGTAAATCTCTGGATGATTTGCAGTAGATTATTGAAAGTTTTTGACTTCCAGTACTTTAATAGAGACAAGAATAATAGTGAGGGGAAGAACATCTCTATCTTTTTTCTTAGCAGTAGTGTTCCTTATCTGTAAAATCATCTGTTCATGATTTTTTAATCCGATCTTTAGGGTTTGAGAATTATAGTAGAATCCAAGACTTGTGATAATTCACAAGTAGATTTGTATTTGCAACAGTGTAAAATAGATCCAGTTATATTTCACAATCCTAGAGAGAGAAAAGGTTTTTTCCAAGAGTAGCAGCCTCAAGAGTTTGTTTTTGTTTTCCATATTAATTTGACATAAATAGTGTGATCTGGTACTTGACCTAGAGGATAACTGTGTTTTTCACACAGTGTTCCTGTATTTGGTGAACTTTATAAATAAGTTCACACAGGCAGAAATGGCTAATTTACTAACACTTATTTGTCCCACATACCTTGGTGGGTAGATTATGTCATTTTTGCAAAAGCTTCCCTGCTTAGCGGTCCAAAAGCAGTTCTTACTGCAGGCAGAGCAGTTGATATCTGTTTGGCGACTTGTATTCTTGATCCACTGTGGAGCTGTAAATGTTTGGACAAGGCATCTTGGGGGAAAGCTTCGTGTTGCAGTATTTATAAAGTAGCTTGTAGCCTCAGCAGGAGCCTTGTCTGGATTTGGAAGCTAAACAGCAACTCTGGGCAATACCTGAATTAGAGACTTGCAGGGAATGCCGGTCAGGTAGGCTAGACTGGGAAGCCAAAAAGAAAACATTAAACCGCTTCCATATCACTGCCAAGGAGAATCATGGTTGTGTCCATTAAATCAGTGTTTCTCAACCTTGGCAACTTTAAGATGTGCGGATTTCAATTCCAGAATTCCCCATGCTGGGTAGGGAATTCTGGGAGTTGAAGTCTACATATCTTAAAAGTTGCCAAGGTTGAGAAACATTGCATAAAACCATCAGGAGTCAAGCTTGACGTGAAGAAGGCTTTCTTTTGGGGCTGATTAACCTTTTTTTTTTCTTCCACCTTCAGGTGTGAATCGTCATTTTCATATGATCTGTATCCGAGATAAATTTAGTCAGAATATTGGGAGGCAAATTTCTTCCAAAGTCATCTGGGACCACTTGAGCACTATGTATGACATGCAGGCACTGGTAAGTGTTGCCAGATGAAAAATGGAGGTCGGCCCCTCTGCTGAATTACAGCAAAGAGTGTTCAGTATAGTGGGTGGCCTGCCCTGCAACCCGAGACAGGTGTAGAAATGGCAGTAGTTTGCTGTTTCAGAGGGAGACCATTGCTATGATGTCATACTTTACATTCCCTGTGCTCCTCTGGGCATCAGAGCTACAGTTGAGTGCAGACGAAGTCAGAGGAAAAGATTCCACATAAGATGTTTTTTAGTCTTTGGAAACTCCTGACTGTGAGGCTGGTACAGTACCAAAGAAATCATGTTGGGTCCAGAGCACTCTCCTGGAAACACATGCTAGATTTTAAACATAGGTGTGAGAACCAGTGCAGTTAAGGGGCTGGACTATAAGTGGGGAGACCCAGGTTTTAGTCCTCCCTTTGGCACACAAGCAGGCTGGATCACTTGGGGCTGGTCACTAGATGGGAAAATCAAAAAAACATCTGTCTGTCCACCCACACTGGACCAGCAGAGTAGATTATGGCCCCTAATCTTCAATAAAGAGACCTTCATTCTGCAGTGAATTGATGTGGACTGATGCAATGTTTTTATATTATGCACAAGTTCATCCTTTCATATTGTCCTTGCCAGTTAAATACCCTTCCTGGAAGCCCACATTATGCCTGCAGAAAGCTCTGTAGGTATTGAAGTATTGTGACTTGCGTTCGGATAATAGGCCCTGAAATCGAGAATTGAAAAGGCATCACAGGATCTAAAATTCATCTGAGAAGGCAACACTGGTTTAGTTCTAGTTGATAACTTTCCTGTACATATATGATATATCTGTAGCATTCACTTAGGGCTTGTATAATATTTGAGAAAGATACACAGATTGGAATGATTGTAGTTTTATTATATGTTTTCATTTTTAAAGGAAATCGTACTTGTTGATCTTCAGTATCATAGGCAACAGCAATGCCATGCAGAATAATTAAGTTTTCTACAGCATGACTTAAAATGGTAAAATACAGTAAAGTCACACAATAAAAGCAAATACATAATATATAACTATAGTTTTATAAAGAGAATAAAGTAATATAAATGCAGAACCAAACGTCATCACGTACAAGTTTTAAAACCAAACTGCTGAGACTTAAGTGTGGATCTTATATGCTAAACTAGTTTAGAAGTCTGAAAGGAAAAAAAAGGACTAGAAACAAAGCAAGAGCTCTTTCTAAATGTTTTGCAATGATTGTAAAATCTTATTGTGGTGTATGTTTTTTTTAGAAAAAACTAAAGGTTGGCATAATCACTTTATTTAAAGATTTATTGTTTTTCTTTTTAAGCATGAGTCTGAGATTCTTCCTTTCCCCAACTCAGAAAAAAACTTCATCCTCCCTGAAGAAATTATTCAAGAAGTAAAAGAAGGTGAGACATTTGGATGTATGTATATTTCTTACAAACAAGGATCTGATGTTAAAAGCTTGTATATAATTGCAGCCTAAGCCATTACATTGGAGAATTTATTTTATTTATTTATTTAGATTTTTTTCATCCCACCTTTATTATTTTTATAAATAACTCAAGGTGGCGAACATATATATTGATACTGGCACTGCAGGTCCTCAAATGACAAAAATTGAGTATCTCATTATATTAATTTAACTAAAGTATGTTCCATGCTGTACCCAAATTCTAAAAAAAAAAAAAAATGGATTTGCTGTTTTCAGATTTGACTTTTTTGAGATGGATGCAACTCACCTCCTAATAGTACAATATGAGGGAGAATTCTATGTTTCCATTTCTGGGGAGGTGGGCGGCATATCAAAATAAATAAATTTAAATATTTATTTATTTATTTATTTATTTATTTACTGACATAATTAGATCTAGCACTTCCGGCTAATAAGTGGTGTCAAATATGCTAACTCCAAGATAGTTCATTAAAGCAAATTTCTGTTTGGCAAAACTTGCCACTTATTGAAGTGAGAAAGTAAAATGCCTTATGCTATAAATTGAAATCTTGGAAATTAAAACTGTGAGAAACAAAAAAAGGTAACCTTAACATAGTTAAGAATATCTTTCCCACTGAAAATCCAGGAAAAAGCAACATTGGCACCCCTGACCAGGTTCCTGCCCCTTTCTCAAATATTAAATGTGGTCCCTGGTCATAAACCATTGTCCACCCATGTGGTTTAGGATTAAAATGCTGGCCTCTTGAAGTGCAGCCAGGGAAAAGGCAGGAGGCCCAACCTCAGTCAAGATGGGAACTAGACTCGGGTTCGAGAGGAGAAATAACTCTTCCCCTGCATTTCTTCTCAAGCAGCACATCGTATTCCCATGAAGTTGGGGAGTTTGAAGGAAATCCTCCTCCCAAAGTTGTCAGCCAACACAGGATACTCCATAGTGGTACAACTTGAGAGTGTGTGGGCAGCCTTCTTTGGCTCTGTGCCCTGCTTGGGATGGGCATCCCTAGGGAGGGGTGTGGTGCCACTGGAGCGGACAAGCCCCAAAACTTTGCCCCTCTTTTTTGCACAGTGCTCCTAAGGGGCACAGGGGGTGCTGGAAGGCCACAGAGGTTCAAGGCAGCAGCTTTGTCTTATAAAACCCTAAAGGAATGGGGGGAAATCTGCCCAGTTTCAGAGGCTTTAGTTTTTAAGGGCTGAAACTGATGGCAGCCATTAACTGACCGGGATATATTTTAAAGTGGGGTGCTGGGGGCCCATGGGTTGCCCACCTCTGGTATAGCCCACATGTAGGAAGAATTGAGTAAGTTTAAACTTGCCACTATCTGGGACAAGAGTTATGCCTTCCCCAGTCTGAATGCCTTCCAGATATATGGACTTCAGCTCCTAGAATTTTTAGCAGTGGCCATGCTAGGGTTAAGGAAGGCTGCTATATTCTATCCGGAAAGCAAGAGCACAGCCCACTTCTTGAAGGAAGAGAAGATATCTCCATCTAGGAGGGCGCTATTCATCTTTGGTGGAAAGGGAGCTATTAGAGTAAATCCAGTGGTTTCTGGGTAGAAAATCTACTGACAACTGTTGAAGTGTGGGGAGAGGAATAGGCGATGTCTTCAGGAGCCATGGAGAAATGTATCCCTTTGCCACAACTGAAGTTAGATTTAGGTCATGATACCATCAGTTTTAGAGATGGAATGGGAGGATGTCCTCTCTTTTGCCCCAAACAACAAGAGGTTTTAGGACAGCACCGGTTGAACTGTAAATTGAAAAAATATACATATTAATTTCTGTCATTTTCGGCCCTGAAATTATTGCTCATTTGCAGCTTTGGGGGCTGTGGATTGTGATTTGCTTTGTTTTTCCCCAGCCCATGCTTTAAGAAATCTAGTTCTTCATTTTAGATGATTTGAAGGGCTCTTGGTGGCAGTAGGAGTCGGCAGTGATAAAATCCTTTTAAGTCAGAGGATTGCCACAAACACGGGTAACCTTCTCAAGCTCAACTGAAGTAAAAAAGAAATTGAATTTGCCTACTTTCCCAGTGATCTACTTCTCATCGTTTGCACAGGGAAAGTGGTGATTGAAGACGATGTGAAGGAAGAAATAAAGGAAGAGATGGAAGCACATGCAGCTTCTGAAGAAGGTACTTCAGCATATGAAAGACGTGTCCTCTGTAAGACAGTATTAACCCTTATTAGTCAACACATATGTGTGCATGTCTTGGAAAACTTGTTCTAGAAGATAGACTGTCAGCAAAGGATTGGGGTTGAAAGAGATCATCCATTGTTAAGAGGTGGGGAACTGCCTATTGCAGTGTTTTTCAACCTTGGCAACTTTACGATGTGTGAACTTCAACTCCTGGAATTCCCCAGCCAGCATACTGGCTGGGGAATTCTGGGAGGTGGTCCACCTATCTTAAAGTTGCCAAGTTTGAGAAACATTGGCTTATTGAAGAAATGAAAGCTCATTATAAATAAATTTGTTTCCCTGGAAAGTAGCCCCATGGTTCTAACTGGCAAAACTCAGCTCACATTTCTCTGTGTGAAGTAGAAGAGTAACCCCCTTTGGCATCTACTGGCAAATTATTTGCTTATGCTTGACCAGATGGTTAGGCCATAATGGTTAGAGACTGTTACTGGTTTCCATATTTTCATTTGCAATAAAGTTAAATCATAACAGTGTTTTCCTTGATGCTGTTGTTGACGTGAGTACTTTCCATAATATTCAGCCTGATGAAAAGTTCTGTGTAATCAGTAGATGACTTGGAGGTTTTTTCATCAGAAAGTAAAATGCCATACCCAGGTTTCTGTTCCCCAACCCTCAACTGGTTATCTGTACAGGCGATGTAATTTGCACAATCTGCCGTATCTTGACAGAAGAACCGTAAGGGCTGAGGATAAATTTGGTGTGTGTAGTTGCCATGAATCAGAACAGACAACACTGAGTTTATGTATTATGAACAGGGATCAGCTTAGCATGGCGTGAGAACCCAGCCAGGTATGCTGAATAAATCACACTTGGCTGGCTTCTTCCAAGGTGTTAAGCCAAAACAAAATGAAGCGTATGATGAATTTGCACAGTGTGAACACAGAATTTATGTACCTGATCTCTGCCGAAATGTACCTCTGCAGAATTACTAGATACAAAACTGACCATTTGGCTACGTGAAAAATCAGACATATTGGACCCCTTGCTGGCTTTTTTGCACGAAATGGAAAAATGCACTTATGGTTTTGATGATTAGAAAAAAACTGGATAATAGAAAAAAGCGAGCTTTGTTTTGTAATCATACAGTAAGAGTTAATTTTGTAATTGTACTTATATTTGCTGCAAAAGAAATTGAAAGCTTTCTTTTTCTCTTTTTGTACTTTTTCTCATTTCTTTTTTTCTTTGCTCTTTTTACTCTTCATTAGTTTGTGTTAGTTTTTATGTTCTTTGTAAAATTGTTAGTAAACTTTATAAAAAAAAGAATCAAATTGGGGTTAGAATAACCATCTTTTTAAGCTATATATAGATTATATTATTGTATCTTTCCTTGCAAAAACCACAGTTAAATATGGAAAGAAATACGTATCAATCCATTGCAGTCTTGCTCTTTCTGACAATGGAGATGTTGCTCAAATTATGGTCTTATAATTCTGTTTCAGTATATGCCTCTCTGGGAAACCTGGCAAAAGCCACTGAAAAACCAAGCAGCAAAGAGAAGGAAAGAAGCTCTTCAGAGTCTGGATCCAAAGAAGGAGCAGATAAGAGAAAGCGGAACAGAGTCACAGAGAAAGTCCTAAATGCAAACAGCAACCCCTCCAGTCCCAGTGCAGCAAAACGGCGCAGGACATAATTGATGGCAGAACAATTCTGGCACATGTCCTGAAGTCTAAGCAGGGAAAAGTTGGAGGGCCTAGTTAGTACACGAGTGGCAAGTGAGGAGACTGAGTGAGGCAAACTGGTCATTGCCCCTCTGAAAGGAGGCAGGTGGTACCTTTGCCCCCCCAAATTTTAGGAGGAGAGGGAGGCAAGCAGCTTTACAACAAATGCCGAGCAAGTCCGACTTTTTTTTTGCCATCAGACGCAAACGACATACTTAGCGTCACATCTGGATTTGTGGGAACCAAGGAGCATCAATTCTGCTGATTTAAATGTTTAGAGACTTCTGTGTTTTGGACTGCAGTTGCTCATTTTGGTCACTGCAGCACAATTCTAGCTGACCAGAATCGGAACTTGCCAAAAACAACTGAGTTTATACATCATGGCATCAATTGGGTATGTGGTGTGCTAGGTGTTCCCCCCACACGTGCCACAAATTCAGTTCTGGAAGGTTGGAGCAAAATTGGAGAGGAAGAGAAGGCAGAGTCCCGTTTGGGGAGAAGTTCATCTGCACTGTTTCAAATGTTATCCTGATGACTGATCAAGAAAATGCAGTATAAACTGATACGGTAGACTGCTCCATCACTTGTACTGTATAAGTAATTTTGCTGCAAACTTTTGAGTGTAAGCAGTTCCAGTAAAGTCAGGTTAGGCATTGGAATTACTTGCCAGATTGGGACAGTAAGATATGTACGTATGTATGTATGTATATGTTTGTGTGGTATTTTATGCATTATTTAATTTACTGATTGTTTTTAAACGAAAAGTATTTTTTGCAGAAATCCTTAGAGTTTTGAGTAACTTTGTTATTTAAGCTATGTCCAGAGTAGGTTTTTGTTTTGTTTTACTTTGAAATGTGTTGAGTTCATATGCACAGGTGTTAAAAGTTGAGCCCTCTTACTGTTTCTGGATGATCAGATAGTAAAATTTCCTTCTCTGATTTTGGGGGACTTAGAAAACACCTTTTGTAAGAAAAGCAGTATCAGCAGAGGAGCAGAGACGGATACAGTGGCATTCCAGCATTCTGTCTGAGTTAACTTCTGCTGTTCAATAAAAAAAGTTCCAGCCCATCTTTGCTCCCTTATAATGCCGCTTGCTAAAGAGACAAGCACTTTCATTTTATGGCGTACATGAAGTTCGATTTATTTCACAGAGTTCTAAGAATGTGTCAGCTTTCTCTTTAAATCAGTGTTTCTCAACCTTAGCAACTTTAAGACATGTGGACTTCAACATGCTGGCTGGGGAATTCTGGGAGTTGGAAGTCCACATATCTTAAAGTTCCTAAGGTTGAGAAACACTGGTTTAAATGATCGGCTTTAATTCTTACAAGCAGCCAGTGATTTTCTCCCCCTTCTAGGCTTCTGTTGATTTCTCATCAATGCGATACTGCCGAAGGTATCTCCAGTTTCCACCATTTTTGTCAAAATGACAAAAGCAGCATCACAGTGCAGGCTCTGCCCCTTTGGCATGGGACGTCATGTATAAAAGGGTAGAGCTCGCATTGTGTTGGTGCAAAGCCGCCTTCATCCTTTCCCAACCGCCTTCTCCTAGAGATGCCACTGAATATAACTTCTTCATTTATGTAAATTGCTGCTACCGTTTGGCACTTAATATTAAGGCAGATACCACTGGGGGAGACCCCAGTATTTGGAAAAATCAAAAACAATTGACCGAGACCAACAGAAGGCAAGGTAGTACTAATTGAAAGTTTTAGGAACCTCCCTTCTCTCTGACATCTGCACAGGCCCCAAATATTTTTTTTACTTAAACGTCTGAAACCTTTTGAAAATCAGATGCCACAATATTTTGGTGTTCTGTGCTGAAATCTTGTGAAAATTTGGACAGAGAATGCCACGCTCTGGTGAGATTTGGGGCATTTATGTCTGTGAGCTGAGTTCACACGTGAGATTAAAACCGATTTTAATGAGTTAGTGATTGGATTTACACTTTGTGTTAAGTTAGGTTTATTTTATGAGAATGGTAGTCCTCAGGTAACTAGGGCAATTGGGACTGGAATTTCCATCAATAAGCAACACGGTTGTAAAGTACAACGTCACATGACCTGCCGCTTAGCTCTAGCAATTCCGGCACTTCTGGTCGCCATTGCTAAGCGAATCCTACATCATCATTAAGCGCAACGTCATGTGGTCGCCATTTGCGACCTGCTGGCTTCCCCATTGACTTTGTCGGAAGCTGGCAGTGAGGGTTACAAATGACAATCATGTGACCACAGGATGCCACAATGTAATTGCAAGCTGGTTGCCAAGCGCCTGAATTGTGACTGTGGGGATGCTGAAACAGCTGAAATTTTGAGGACCAGTTGTAAGTAACACTTGTTCAGCGCTGTTGTAAGTTTGAACAGTTGCTGAACGAGTGGTCGTTAAGTGAGGACCATCTGTATGTTGTAATACCCAAGGGCTGGGGTCGCATTTCCCATTAAGACAAACTAGATTAAGGGTGTGCATTGGGCCATAAGGCGCAAAATGGATTAATTCCTCTCAAGCACAAATCTTCATTGACGGGCTTCTTGTATGTAGCTCATTTCTTGCCATGTCAATCCTAAACCCGACTCCAACAGCTTTTTCAACCTCTGCAAAATGGACCTGAAACACACTTTGTGAAATGCACATTTCTAATAAGTGAGGTTTGTAGTGGAACCAAACCAATTAGATTACTGTCATGTGATTTTTCACTGATGGAAGCCTTGAGAGAGAAGAGAAAGTATCTGCTGGGAAGATTTGTGTACTTTTGATATTGAAGATGACCATATTTCTTTTTAATATATTTTGAAAAAGAGCAAAAGAAACAAGAAAATTTAAGCTGATCCTTCAGGTGTTTCTCTTACGGACTTCATTAGATATCTGCAAAGTGTGGTCAAAAAAGTCAAGATGGCAATTGCCAGTGCAATTGAAACTCTGTAATGCACATAAAAACAGGTGAAGCTTCAATCACACCACTGTGGGGCCATCTTGACTTTTTTGACCACACTCCGCAGACGCCCATAGACTTCAAGAATCATTGTGAAATACATTTTATAAGCTGCTTAATTTTTTTTCTTTAGTCCAAGAACGTAATGTAAATTCATCTTAAACCACACTTCGCCTGTTGAATTTTATGGGACGCTGCCATCCGAACCCTGTTCTGTTTTTTAAAACAGTGGCAAAAGGGCATGGTAATTTTGTTTCAGATCCAGCCGAAGTGCCATCTTTTATCAAAAGCCAACGTGACGTGCCCTACCATTCATATTACTAATTTTTTTAAAAAAAACTTTCTTGGAAATGGCTGGTGGGACCATATCCTCATTCAGAGTATGGCCTTCCATTTACTAATTCAATAAAAAAGCAACCAGCTCTACAAAGTACAAGTTGGTAGGTGGCAGGAAAAGGATTTTCTCGGGGGACATAGCCTGGCACAGGGATGTGCAATCCATGGCAGTCCAGGTGGTGCTGAACTACAGAGGGCCACATCCTTCACTGTTGACCAGGGATGCTGGGAACAGCTGGCACCAGCTGAAATACCATCTAAGGGCCATAATAAAAAATCTCATGGAAACTAAACAGAATTGGGCACCTTGGAATCCAATGTATGCTGCCCCCGATAGAAGAAGGAATATGAATGTTCCTTCTCCCATGTTCATCTCAATAGCCTTGTGAAAAAGGTCAGGCAGGAGACTGGCTGGGTTTACACCTCCTAAAATCATCATGTCTTTTTAGTCTGACTTAGCATGGGATATGAACCCAACCTTTGTCGCTTCGAAATAATGGCGGATGGCTTTGCATGGTGTTCGAAGCCAACTAATATCCTCACTTCCTGGCTCAGCTTAGTCATCTAGCAAGGTTAAGGCTCAGGTTGGAAATTCAAGTCCTAGTTCTCTTGCACACACAAGTGTGCAATGCACACTTCATTTAGGCCCAGAAATCAAGGACTCCTGCGCTGAACAAGCCCTAACACTAAACATCAGAGCTGTGGAGTGCTTCAGGTTTGAAGGTGCATGACAGCATGCCGGAGCACCCACATAATGCTCGTCTGCAGCGCCATAAACCAAATGCAACTTTCCCACCATGGAGTGTCAGCTGACCAGCTGCGCAATCCCAGGAAACACAGAGCCTCTTTAAGGGGTTTGGGCACCTTAAAGCAGTATTTCTCAACCTTGGCCACTTGAAGACGTGTGGACTTCAACTCCCAGAATTCCCCAGCCAGCCTGGCTGGCTGGGGGAATCTTGGGGGTGAAGTCCACACGTCCTTCAGTGGCCCAGGTTGAGAAATACTGCTTTAAGGTGCCCAAACCCCTTAAAGAGGCTCTGTGTTTCCTGGGATTGCGCAGCTGGTCAGCTGACACTCCATGGT